TATAATATATATAATATAATATATATATATATAATATATATATATATATATATATATATATATATATATATATATATATATATATATATATATATATATATATATATATATATATATATATATATGTATATGTATAGATATATATATATATGTATATATATGAATATATATATATGTATATATATATATACATATATATGTATTTTTTTTAAATACTGCTCCTCCTGAATAGGCATTGTTTAATGTAAAATTATAGTGACTATGGTCAAGTTAATCTAATCTACACTAACCAGCACAAATCTGCTACCTGCTGAGGTAAGATGGTAACTGCAGTCTCCTTAAAACATAAACTGTATTTTTCCGACACAATGAGAGATTGCGTTAAATAGTTGTGATTTCAGTTTTTAACAGACAAATCATGATTATGAATTTCTATTTTATTATCAAGCAGCTCTCTCAAAAGGTGAGCAAGCTAATTAAAAAAAACTAGCTCGGTTCTGGGCTGCCAGCTGGATTCAGTTGAGGAGATGTGTGAAAGGAGGATGGTGGGGAAGATGACCTCCATCTTAAAAAAAAGTTAACCTCCCACCCTCTGCATTCCAATGTGGAGACCATGGACAGTTCCTTCGGAGGCAGACTGAGACATCACAGATGTAAAACAGAACTCTACCGTAGATCTTTCTTCCTCCCTGCATTAAGAGTGTATAACTCCTCATTTTAACTGGTACTGGCATTATCCTTTTACACAATAACATCAATGCAATATTCAGTACTCGCTGAATACCTGTGCAATACCAGATTTACATAGTAAGTCTGAGTCCCTTACAGTATGCTACATCGTTCTGGAACCCAAGTTTTTCATTTTTGTTTGTTGTTTTTAGTGGTCGAAGGTTACAATACTAGTTTACTGCCTATGTGTACCTTTATTATTTTTCTTCAGATTATTCTCTTAAATGTATGAGCTGCTGTAAAAAGTGAATTTTCCACTGTGGGATCAATAAAGTCTATTCTATTAGGTCGCTGAAATGTAATCAAAGTGCGTCTTTGACAAACAGACGTTTTACATCATTGCTACAATTAGTCCCTAACAAAACATTGACCTTTAAAAACCAAAGAGTTGATACTAAAAAGACAAACAAGCTGCATATCTGGTCACAATCTAATCCAGAAAGCTTTATTGAGTAACAGCTTCTAATGAAACCTCTATTGAGAGTTTCCAAATAATGAGAGTCTGGCTCTTATGCAAGACAATCAATGTTACGTTGTGTTTTTGCAGGCCCGCAAATAAAAGGAGTCGTGTTTCAGATATGACCTGGTTTGATCCAGATTCCTCCTGCATTTACGGTAATGAGAAAACATTACAGCAAACTTAAAGGTCAGCAGTGTCTGACACTGATCTTTGACGATTCAATGACTGAATGTGCTTTGTTTTCTTCTTTTTTTTTCAAGTCACTTTAATTTGTGTTTGTTTCCAACCAGCTCTAGTTGCATGTTTTCAACCTAATTTAACCATTCTTAAAAAATCTGTAAGATCCCTCAATTCAGCGTTTCCTGAACAAGATGTAGCGGTGACGTGTGCACACAGCTTTTATTTACAGCGGGTGCGACGGAGAGCCCATGAAGATGTCAAAGTAAACTTAAATGAAAAGCAACGCTGACAGTAACCCTCGTTGCATCGAGTGCCACCCCATAACTCTTCTTTATGGGCCACACAGTTACCTTTTCCCATGAGAACCATCAAGGCACAAAGAGACAGAGAGAGAGAGAGAGAGAGAGAGAGAGAGAGAGAGAGAGAGAGAGAGAGAGAGAGAGAGAGAGAGAGAGAGAGAGAGAGAGAGAGAGAGAGAGAGAGAGAGGCTGCAAAAACAAAGACGTCCACAAACGGTGGAGCGGGAGAAGACTGGGACTAATTTTAAGCATGGTAAGGATGTTTTACATTTTCTGAAAGGGACCAGCACGTGTTGCACTTTTGAGACTGCAAAGATGTGCAGGTGATTATGGTTCTGAAGACCAAAAGATGCCAAAAGGTGTTTCAAAAACACGCTCACTCATGGAGAAACTGACACTTCTCTGTGTTTTTGTAGAAAAAAATCCCTAACAAGAACAAGATTGTGTTAATAAACCACATTTCCTTTCACATTTTTAAAGTAAATTTCATAAAACTAACCTCCTTTTAGGGCAAGGATCTGCTTTTTATTACTGATTTGTTTTCACAAGAGTGACATGCATAAAAACTAAGAAATATTATTTATTCAATGCGAGGCCACATTAGAGAGCTGGCAAATTACTGCAGACTTGCATGTGATTAGTTTTAATTTAGCACGTGTTGAACAAAGAGCATAGTGTTTACAGTGTAGCTGTTTGGGATCACCCTGTGATAACTGCAAATCCCTATAAATTAGTGAGCTGCTTCGTTTTGTTTCTAAATTAAATGTGACAGTTTCTGGACGACGGGGGGAAGGATAACTATTTTATTGCTTCTGATCACAGACAGGATCAGTGCTAATCATATCAAGGTTTGGACAAGGAGGTCGGAGCGGATTATTGTGCAGGCCTCATGAAGTGAGTTTGATAAACTGAGCACATGAGCTCAAATAGACAAATGCTGATCTCACAATCTGAGCCTTTCTGAAGCTAATTTGGTGGGTTTAACTGTGGAGGAGAGCAGTGACCCCAGAGTCAAAGCTAAAAACATCCTTTTCACCTCTGACACTGTTTAATGGTGCTCATTTACAATCCGACTCACAGATCATTACCAAACTACTGGACCCTGATAAGAGTTTGACCCCTTTTTCTGTTCTTTTTTTTTTTTCTTTTGGACAGGAGGAACAAAGAAAACTTTGTATACAATATTTTAAAATCAACAAACAAAGTAGTGGTCTGCGAATGACACAAACACGTCAGGTTGTTTCTGAGCAGGAGTGGTCCCGTGGAAGACATGTAAAAAACACATCCATGTTCAAAGACAAGGGAGCAGAACGGTTTTATTTGCTTTTAGATTGAAGGCTGCAGTTTGTTTCGGAAAAGCAGAATGTACACGTAAGCTTTCTAGTTTTACCCAATTCCCACCAATATCAAAAGGTAAGAGTCTAATATTGATGGATTGTCCCTGTAATGCAATGACCCAATGCCATTATCGTTAATGACACGTAGTCGCCTAATGATTGTGTGTGTCTGTGTGTGTGTGTGTGTGTGTGTGTGTGTGTGTGTGTGTGTGTGTGTGTGTGTGTGTGTGTGTGTGTGTGTGTGTGTGTGTGTGTGTGTGTGTGTGTGTGTGTGTGTGTGTGTGTGTCAGTGAGTACTGCAGGCAAAGAGAAGGAGGAAAAGACACTAATTGAAATTCCTTCAACCATGTCTGGCAAAGGTTTGGTGTCTGAGTGGCACACACACACACACACACACACACACACACACACACACACACACACACACACACACACACACACACACACACACACAGGCCCTAATAAAAGTGGGCTTTGCCATATGGAGACCATGTGCAAGACTCGCCTCTCGCTCTCTCTCTCTCTCTCTCTCTCTCTCTCTCTCTCTCTCTCTCTCTCTCTCTCTCTCTCTCTCTCTCAGCGGGAGGGTGGGGGGGTGGGTGGGGGTTGACCAAGGACCAAGGCACCTACACACAAGTGCATGGAAACCACATGTGTAAGAAGGTGTGTGAGGGATAAATACCCATTAAGGATTGCAACTCCCCCCCCCCCCCCCACACACACACACACACACATCTCACATCCACTCTATAGATATAATTGAGCAAGAGTCTGGTATATGACAAAAAGAAACCAGCTCGCATTTTGGACGTTTTCCACCCGACTGGGTGACCTCGGGCAGGTAAATGTGGGAGTAATGCTCTGCTCTCCCTCAGCAACTACTGTCAGCGTGCCCTGAGGCAGCTTAGTTACTCCGCTCTGCTCCTAGAGCCAGTCCTGGAGAACTTCCAGATGTGCTCAACGGGAAGATAAAAGTTGTGGATGACAGAATGATATCAGCTGATTTTCTGCTCTCAGTTAGCCGTAACAGCTTGTGATGAGCCTTACAAGCTGTTAGACGCATTCAGATCCACCAGTGAGCAGATTAGAGGCTTGATTCATGTTGGACATCATTTAAATAAAACATTAGTGCATTCTTACACCCTGAGATACTTTAAAGTTCCTTAGAAAGGCCTGTTAGGATTACCGTCATGGGCTGAGCTGTGAGAAAATGAGGCTGAGTGACAGTGACACAGACTCGCGTGTGCTTGGTGACCTCTCCCGGCATAAAGAAAGGTTAAAATCATACTTCACAGCCCAGAGAACGCACAAACAGAATGAGAAGCAGGGATCACATGTTTACAGCATTACTTTCCTTCTGAGCCAACGAAACCTCAAACTTTGCATTTGCCCACCGCGATTACAGCTGAAACACAATAGCAGCAAGGACTTAGTGGACTTGTCATTCTCCCCCTGGGGTTTGGCAATAGCTGGTTTAGATATTTCCTCAAAGAAGAAGAACTTTCTTTGGGCAATTTCTAATTGGTTCCAGTGAATCATACCCCCCCCCCCCCCCCCCCCATCCTATCCCAACTCTAACACATTGTTTTTTATCTGTTTGGCTTGCCTTTTCCTTTCTGTACTGTTCTTCTTCTGTCAAGAGTTCTCTTCCCAGACTCTTTGTAGTCAGACAAATATGCCTTGCCTCCACACATGGTGAAAAGGCTTGATGCGTGCAGCTCTGTTATTTGTTCTTCTGCCCAGTCACCTGTCTTAATGTGCACGGCCGCCCGAGAAGGAGACAAAGAAACTTCACTCTCTGGAGATAAACTGGTGCGATAACGTGAAGGAAGAATGAGAGTGGGTTTCTCTGCCACAGTGGTCCCGTTGACAGTGAGGCCTTTGTATTTGGCCCGCTTTCATTCTTCCTTAAAGCACAACCAAAAGATCTCCCAGGAACCTACAGATCTAATTAGATCTTCATCAGACTATTGATAGAGGTGAGACATGACTTACTGTATGGATCCTCTCCATTCTTGGTGCCATTGACCTTCCCGTCCTGGCCAATGCGAAGGAAAAATTTGTGATAGGAGAACAGCTGCCTCCTGCGCACGTCTCCTTGCAGATGTCCATAGCTGCTTCGCGCGTGGCGCCCCACCATCGTTGCAGATGACGATGACTCATTGGTCGCTCGTGGCAACCTTGCAGAGGATGCGCGGAGCGGCGCCGGGGATGAAGATGGTGAGACAGAGAGGTGAGAGGCCCCCTCTGGTGCATGGTCCCTTACGATGTCCACTGATGAGACAGGGGAGGGCGAGGAAGGTTTGAAAATGAGGAGCAGGAGGAGGAAGATGAGGGAGAAGAAGAGTGAGGGAGGTCTGCTGCAGGGGAAGGAGGAGAACCAGGCGACCGGTGCACCTTGTGTCACTGTCCATCTACACATGGTAGTGGAGCTAGCAGAGCTGTGGAGGTGCTCAGGGGCTGGGGCATGCTGAGCTGGGTGCAGGGAAGAGGAAGGAGAGTGGGAGAAACTTCCCCCTGACCCACAAAACCTCCACCTTCTGGGAACCCACAACCTCACTGGGACCGTAGGTGTTCAGACCTGTGGGACAACTAAGGTGAAGACGATGTGACCACAGCAGATCGGAGCAGGACTTTCAGGAGCAGATTTACGGTTCCATGAACAGAGACGTGGAAAAACTCAAACTTTTCTGCTGTCTTTTGAGATCGTTACTCCTCAGAAGCACCACAGGAATGCATCAACATCCATAACTCAGATTATCGCTCAGCAAGAACTACCGAGGACCTCGTCCTTACTCAAAGACACTCCGAATCCTTCACACTTCATTCAAACATGACACAAACTTCACACACACACATTCAATCTGTGTCCAAAAAAGGAAACCATGCCAAAGTGCTTAATACAGAAAAAAGAATAAGCAGCAAAAAGCCAAAAGGAACGAGAAGGGATGCTTCTGGTGAAATGTCCAAACAAATCCAAGGAATGCAAGTCATAAAAAAGACAGAATCCAGATTTCCTTCTCTTCTGTCTTCTTTTGTTCCTCGTGTTGTGTGCCAGGCAGCTTGAAGTTACTTGAGAGTGTAATCGAGCCCCCCAGGTCTCGTCTTTCTCCCCTCTCTCGTTGTGCCCTGTCACTGAGCTGATCTCATCTGTCCTCTGTCCTTGCCTCTCAGAGTCTGAATGCTGGAGCAGTGCGTTGCCTCTCCTCTTTCCTCCTGTGTGTGAGTGTGTCTGTGTGTGTGTGGCTCCTTTTCCTTTGGCCCCCACCCTCTTTTTCCTCTGCCTCTATCACCGGTCCTCTCCCCAGTTATCAGAGGTCTCGCTGGAGTGACTGAATCTTGTCTTTTCCTTTCACCTTATTTATCTGCTGCAGCAGCTCCCCAGATGTCTCCGTCTAATTGGATGTCCATTAAAACCAGTCGGCTTTGAAGAGCTGGGTGCATTTACGTGAGCGTGCAAGTGTAAATGTGTGTGTGTGTGTGTGTGTGTGTGTGTGTGTGTGTGTGTGTGTGTGTGTGTGTGTGTGTGTGTGTGTGTGTGTGTGTGTGTGTGTGTGTGTGTGTGTGCATGTGTGTGTGTGTGTGTGTGTGTGTGTGTGTGTGTGTGTGAAGAAGAGGGGAAGCGGGGGTCTGTCCCACCTCTCTTCATGCACTCTCTCTCTCCCCATTTCTCTGTCTCCACCCCTTCCCAGACTAAACCCCACAGCAGGGCAGGTCAGAAAAAAATGTTCTACTTCTCCTTTCTCCATGTGTGGATGTGTCTTCTTGCTCTTGATTAGTATGAATGCTTTTTGAAAAACTTTGCTGACTAAATGATGCAAAATCTGACTATTTTCCTGCAAAGTTTTGGTTAGTCTGACAAACTTTTTTGAGGAGTTTCTATGAACATCTTGAGTTATAGAGCAGTCCAGGGGGGTTTTGGTGTGTTCAAGAATCCAGGTCTGATGTCTGGTTTTCAACATTGTTTAATTTCCTTTTCACATAGTTAGACAACAACCATATCTCCATCTTGTCCTCTCTCGCTCCAGTATGGTATGCTACAAAAACATCTGACTTCTTCTGTGAGTTCCTTAGATTAACCCTGTAAAATAAGACCTGCGCTCTTACTGTTCAGTCAGCAAGTGTTTCGCTCTGCTGAAGTAATTCTAACTAAGAATAGACAGATGTTGGGGGCCGCCAACAATCTGTCATTCATGTCAACACCACAGCCTTCTGTTTCCCACGAGGGCCTAACTTTGGAGATGGCAAAAATTGATCTGACGGGATGTTTTGGTGAAAGAACAACTGTGAAAAAAATTGTCATGATGAAATGATGATAAATTATTACACAAATTTGCTTTTATATAGTAAACATGAGATTGTCACGATGTAAGCCAGGAGGAGGTTAGGACCCAAGACGCAGAACCAGGATGACACAAGGCAGGAGTAGTAGAAAAACGTAAAATCCTTTATTAGGAATAATTGTCCAAAAGTAAAATCCAATAGGGCAGGTAGCAAAAACCTAAATCCAAGAATCCTAATGCACAAACCTAGAGACCAAGAGATGAAGAGCTGCTAGAGCAAAGCCTAGAGACATCCAAATACCTAGAGACCAGGAGACCAGGAGAGGGAAACGAGACAATGTTGACACAAACAATGGACCGACAACACATCGAGACGCAGACAGGGTTATGTACACAAAGGGAAACAATCAGGGAAACAGGTGAGTGGGGAGTGAGATCAGAAGGGATCAGGTGAGACTAATTAACTAAGTGGGGAAAACTGACTAGGTAAAATTAATCTACAGAGAACTAAAGATAAGTGAACTCCTAAACCTGAAAACTAGACACCAGAAGAAAAACACTAACAAGGGTGGTATAACTACATCTGAAATCACTAAGGGGGAACCTGAGGGAAACCTGGAGGGAGCTGCAGACCTAAAGGGGCACAGAAATCTAAGGAGAACACCTAAGGGGAAAACCTGGAGTGGGCTGGGGAACACAAGGAGACGCGTGAAGAAAGCAAGATGGCGCCCATGAGTGACTGTACGTTTGCTAGGCTCCTGATTTTTTTTGTTTATTTGCTGTTTTTTATTGTTTCTTCTTTATCTGGTGTGGATTCCCTGCTAACATATGATCGAGACTTACTATTGTCAATCAGATCTGCGATAATCAACCTCCAGAACTCCAATACCGCACCCACTTTCCCACCGCCACTGGAAACTGCCATTAACCCAGGTGTCGGCCCTTTGTTACCTGTCAGCCTGTCGCTGCCCCGGAGGCCATGGAAGAGGAAACGGGGGAAGAGAGCCGGCTTCTTTGTTCAGCTTCGAAAGATCCTGAGAGGCGAAGCTCTACCCGATTGGTGCTCCATGGCTGTGACGTGACAGATCCAACAGAAGCTCAACAGAGTTGGGCTGATCTCGCTGCTCACTGTAGCCCCCGATGCAGGATGCTACCTGAAGGTGTGGGAGACTAAGAGCCTCCGCAGGCATAGCCTGGAGTCGCTACGTAGCTTAGCCCGCCAGCCGACCGCCATTATGGAGCCCGCGGCACACACATTGCCAGATTTCTCTGCAAAAATGTTGATAATTAATGCATGCTCCATCGCCAATAAGTCTCACATCCTAAACAATCTGTTCTGCATCGGAAAATTAAACTTTTTATGGATTCCTGAGTCGTGGCAGCACGAAAATGACGTCACTCATCTCCGTGAGCTCTGTCCTCAAGACTGCTCTTTCTTCTCTGCTCCACGGACCACAGGCTGCGGTGGAGGAACAGCTGTTATCTTTAAAAAACACTTTTCATGCCAAATTATATCCTCAAACTCCTACAGCTCATTCGAGATGATCATGATTAAAATTGGTCGAGTTCTACCAGTTTATGGGATTCTGGTCTATCGCCCACCTGGATCTACTTCATCCTTCCTGTCAGACTTTCAGGACCTCCTATCTTCAACTATTAAACTAGACAGGATAATCATTGTTGGAGATTTCAACATCCATGCTGAGGATCTATCTAACAGCTCTACCAGGGAGTTCCTAAACATGATGAACTCTTTTAACTTCTCTCAACACGTATCTGGTCCCACTCACAGAGCAGGCCACACCCTGGATCTGGTCTTTTCCTACGGACTTCTTGTTGATAAGCTGCAGATGAATGATGTTGTGTTCAGTGACCATAAGTCAATTTCCTTTCATATTAACCTAAATTCTGAATCTCTTTTACCAGTCTCTGCTAAGCAAAGACGGATTATCAACAGTTCTACCATTTTAAATTTCTCCTCCCTCTTTGACTTTTTACCCCCTTCCTCTGATGACGTAGAGCTCCTTACCAACTCATTTAATGATCACTGCCTCAAAATTCTTGATCAGGTTGCCCCTTACAAAACCACCCGCAGTTCCAGTGCCTCCAGTTCACCCTGGCTGAACAACCAGATTCTTGAACTTAGACGCTCCTGTAGAAAAGCAGAACGTCAGTGGAAGAGGACAGGTTTGGTTGTTCATCGCAAATATTTTAAAGAACTTCTCGAGTCATACAATGAAGCTGTAGGAAATACCAGGTCTTCTTTCTTCAGCAACCTCATATGCCAAAATAAGGATAATCCGAAGGTTTTGTTTGATACCATCTCCAGCATCATTTCTTCTCCTCCTCAGCAGGCTCAGCTATCTTCAGCTGATGATTGTAACACCTTTCTCCACTTTTTTTGCAAACAAGGTGTTGAATCTGAGATCCAGCATTCCACATGCTCCCCCCATCAGCAAGGAGGCCCCTCAGTGCTCCGAGTCTTTCACCTCCTTCTCCCCAATTACACTAAATTACTTAACCTCAATAATCAGTCAGATAAAGCTCTCATCATGCTCATCAGATGTGATGCCTCCCTCTGTCTTAGTCAGGTCCCTTGCCTCTATCAGTCCATCTCTGTTGACTGTAATCAACAGCTCACCGAGTCAAGGCTGTGTTCCATCTTACTTTAAAAATGGAGTAGTGACTCCTCTCTTAAAGAAACCCAACCTTGACGCCAGCTCCACCGGTAATTTTAGGCCCATATCTAAGCTACCTTTCATCAGTAAAGTACTTGAGAAGGTTGTTGAAACTCAACTCAGATCCTGGTTTTCTAAGTCAAAAATCTCTGACCTCTTCTTCTTCTTCTGGCTATTGGAGAGTGCAGACGCTTTTTTCCTCCTCTCCTCCATATCTTATTCTCAAGGCCTTTGTATGTCTCTGTGTGCTGGGTGCACGGCTGCTTCTGCATTTTTTCTGGAAACTGGAAACTGAAATTCACTAAAATGGATCTCGGAAGTTGGTCTCTCAACGCGATTGACAACATTTTTTCAACGATGAGAACATAAGAAGGGGCTCCAGGATGCCCTGCTGGGACAGACCCAGTTGGACACATCATGGACTCCTGGAAACAGTGGAACTTGATTTGTTTATCTCAGCTGTCTGTGGAGGACTCTGAAGACGTGTGGATATTCGTGGTGTTGGTGACAGGTTTCCTGCTCATTGGCCTTGGAGGCTACCTGGCTTACCGGAAAATTAACGAGCTGTTCACAGACTCACATAGTTGTCGAGATGAATCGTAAGCTTGGGACTTTGGCCGAGATTCATTCATTAGCACAGAAGATGGGCACTTATGTTGTGTTATGTCTGAAGTCTGTTGCATTTCTGTCTGAGGTGTTTTTTGCATAGCAAAGCTGCCCTCCCTGTGGAGGGTAACTCTGAAGTGCCCTCGCCATCAAGGAGAGAGTATACGAACCAGCACGGATTGGGATAGATTAATGTCCATTATTGGGATTTTGCGAGGTTGAGGACCAACAAACTGTAAGGCAGAGAGGAAATTATCTCTGTCTGGCCCAAAACAATTTCTAATCAGAATCTGGCGTCCTTGAGCCTGCAAGGCTCCAACAAAAACTCCCCCTCAGAAGATGTGTGGAATGTGCCGTCACTATGGCAACTCAACTCTGTCTCCTTTCCCAGCCTGGGTGGGACCGCGGGAAGGACGCTGAAACTTTCCAGGGTCACTGCAACCCTCCAACCCTCAATGCTCCTCCCCCTATCCACACTGAGGTGACATGCGCTGCTTATCGTGGCTGCAGGAACTGAAGTGGGGATAGTCCCAACCCACCTAGTGGGCACTTATGTTGTGTGATGTCTGATGTCTGTTGCATATCTGTCTGAGGTGTTTTGTTGCAGAGCAAAGCTGCCCTCCTGCTGGAGAGTAGCTCTGAAGTGCCTTTTTCCCTCCACCTGAACCAATCCTCATGTGACCCCTCTTATCTATATTAAAGTAGTGTGACTCATGGTTGTGAATGACCACAGTCACCAATTCTTTTCATGTGTCTTGCCCATGTATGTCTGACCACTGAATTGTGTGTACTGGAACTCTAATTTCCCTCTGGGATTAATAAAGTATCTTTGATTGATTGATTGATTGATTGATTGATTGATTGATTGATTCCAATCTGGCTTTCTGAAGCAGCACTCAACTGAGAATGCTCTAGTAAGGGTGCAAAATGACCTCCTAATGGCTGCTGATGCTGGGAAATGCTCTGTCATTGTCCTGCTTGACCTCAGTGCAGCTTTTGACACTGTAGACCACAACATTCTACTGAACTGGTTAAATGCTCTGGCTGGTATCTCAGGTTCTGCTCTAGACTGGCTATCCTTTTATCTCACCAACTGAACATTCGCAATGAAGTCAGAAACCTTTTCATCAGACACCGCCT